CGTGCAGATGCTTGTCTTCTGCATCAGGTGAATGAAGACTTGGGGCAGGACGATCGGCAGTTTTCAGATCATCCGTGTGAGCCGGTTGAACCTCGGATTGGGCTGGCTTTTCAGACAATTGCTCTTCTTCGTCGACGGCATTTTTCTCAACAGCTATATGCGGTGAGGCGTCGTCAGCCAGCGGTTCGGACTCTTCTTTGCCCGCCTTAGATGATCTAGATGGAGAAACAATGGCCTTTAACAGTTCACCCAGAGATGCCTCCTTAACTTCATCGGTGTCCTGATCGGGGACCTTCTCTTGACCTTCTTCATCTTCAGTCACAGTTGTAGCTCCCTTTGGTGAAGATGGAGATTGAAGGTCAGATGCCGCTACTTTTTGGACCGGGGCTTCAACGGTTGTCTGATCTGCGTCCTCAGAGGCTTTTTCTTCCTTACCAGTAATGTTCGGGGTCGTATCGTGCAGATGCTTGTCTTCGGCATCAGGTGAATGAAGGTTTGAGTCAGGACAATCGTCAGGTTGAACCTCGAATTGGGCCGCGTCTTCAGGCAGTTGTTGTTCCTCTTCTCCGTCGACAGAATTTTTCTCAATAACTGTATGCAGTGAGGCGTCATCGGCCAGCGGTTCCGACTCTTCTTCGCCCTCCTTAGATGAAAGAGGTGAGATTAAAGAGGCCTTTGAGGCTGCCTCCAGAGATGCCTCCTTCTGAACTTCAACGCTGTCCTCCTGATCGACGACGCCATCAGTGACGCCCTTGGGGCTCGATTCTGGCAACTGGGAACTTTTGAGCGCATCTGAGGGCAAGGTTCCGTCAAGCCGACCATCCCGCTTGTCAATCTCATTGTCAGCCACAGGCCCGCCTTTCTGTCCCTGCATAGAGTCCACGGAACCGTCTCGCTGCACTGTTTCAGATTGCGCCTGGCGGGTCCGTTCAAGTTCCCCTTCTGGAGCGGGTTCTGAATCATGGACCACAGTCTCCCCTCCCACACTGGAATTCGTACTCCCTGCTTCGCTTGTTACTGAGGATATTTGCGCATCATCATAATCGCCTTCATCAGTGGAGATGAGTGGCTGCGGTTGTGGCGGTGATGCTTTGGAGGATTCGTGGGAGGCACTGAGGGAGAAGGAATCACTGAAATCGGTGCCCGGCTGGCCCTCTTCACGACTCAGGACGGTCTCTGCTTTACAGCTGGAGGAGGGCGTGTCGTTGGCATTGACCAGGTGCACGGGAGGCAGAGAATGAACTGAGTCCGAGGATGTCATTGAATCTCGTAAGGCTTCAGCTGGTGCGTTCATGGCTGAAAGAGAAGCAATAGACAAAAGTGTTATTGTTGGCTTAACAAGTTACGTCGTGACCAGTTAGGCATAATCCTGGAGTATTATCGATACACTGAACTCAACCTTTCGGTTGATTTAGTGTCAGTGGGGCGATGATACTAGTGCCTAAGGCTTGAAGTCCGATTCAGTGGGTCCTTGGATGTCCGATTTAAACGTACCTACCACTTTATGACATCAGGAAAAGAACCTTACAGCTTGCGAAATCCGTATACACTCGCACACGGAGACACACGCGACAAACGCAAAGGTAGCCTTACCGAAAAAAACGTTTGTAACGCCGTTTGGGAAAGAAGTTTTACTTTGATAAGTTGAAAGAATGCTCAAACCAGAAATAACAGTCAACCGGTAGGTGTGTCGTATTTGTCTGGATTGCTGGACCCTAGGGCATAACAGTTTAGACTACCGAACTAATCCTGCAAAACGACTACGATGAGATGGAACATCGTTTCAGACACACCAAACTTCTCTACTATCAGAAATTATATCTAAACATACTTCAATTCAGTGAAACAATCTACAATGAAGTGAAGGACAGGCCAGTGGGTTCACCGATTTTGGAGCTCAAGGCTGGGGTGCTCTTGCAACGATTGGAGTCACTTATCTTCCAATAACACAGACCGAAATTCCGGGCTGAGTATGCGGATGATGCGTTAGTCGACATATAAACTGATCAGGTAATCTGAGTGTCCCCAACTGACGCAACGATCGTGGTGGCCTAGTGTTTAGAAAAATGGCTAACACCACTCGAGTACTAAGCTGAAAATAATAGCCACTCAATAAGCCACAAGCGTAGCCATCACAAGCAGTATATCGGCATGTCGAGAAGCACTGCAGTGAACCCAAAGACAAGATTCTCGACGGGTGTTCAGAGCAACTAAACCTTCTCAACAAGCACATACACAAATAAGATGGGAAACTGAACCATAGCGCTCAAAAATATCGATGAGCACTCTCGTGCTTCAAGAACGTTTTGAAAGCCATTGGCCACCCTCTCATAAACCTATCCCCGAAGCTTGATTTGCAGAAAAGTCAAGGGCGGCCATCAAAAGCCGTGTAATGAGGCCGAAGGATCTGTAGCAGTCCTTGGATCAGCGCCACTATCGCTGACTCACTCCTCCTTTGCTGCCAAGCCTTTGCGTAGTCTCATGTGACAATCGCCTCTCATGCGAACTCCTGCCACCCGTCACGCGTTCTTTGCCAACTAGCTGTAGGGCCGCACATGAATCCTCGTGCCTTCGCCTGTGAAGCCTTTCGCACACGCTGTCGCCTGTCAAGATCGGGTCCCTACCACGCATCTTGGCATCAGACGCTTGTGCGAACTCGAGCCAATCAGAGTGCACAATTTCCTGATTGGCTGCAGAATATGTCCGGGATCCTGTAACTCGTGCGCACAGGCACTGCTGCTACTGCCTCTTCAGTTGAACTTCTGACCAGGCGATGACAACCACGCGTGTTGCGAGCTGCTTGACTCACGACAGGCCAAATGTACTCTATAAGTACTGCAACGCTGACGCGATCAGCATCCCTGTGCGGGGTTCATCCAGCGGGTAACATCCATGTTCGCTGATCGCAGCTCCTTTTTATCTCACAAGACGCTTATGGGCAAGCATGTAGATGCAAACCTGACTATGCCCGACAAGCGTTTTTAAACAGTCAGTCAAGCACAGATATTGTTTTAAGCGGTGCATGTAGCTGAGTAGTTTACATGAGTAGAACAAGTACTAAACAGTACACGGTCAAATCAATCGATCGAACAGTCATATTACATAAACCATAATTTTAATCAAGTGCTTAGGCGCGGCAAAACTCAAGACAACTGATTCTGTATAGCCGTCAATCACAACTGTTTCTGTTATAACCTGCACAAAGCAAGTTTATTCTGCCCCGGAAGCATTGTAGCGCCGGCGCCAAGCCCACGAACCGTCATGTGATTGCACTCCTCTATCTGCCTCTGGGACAGCCAATCACAGGTGCCCTAGGCTGCCGCGCGTCGAGACTTCAGACCACCACTGAGTTTCTGTATGCAATAAACTACTCCTACTGGTCTTACCCCTTCTTCTCCGATACGGAACTCGGCGCGATAATTGTACACAGTGCTCTGAGCACACTCACGGCTTGAACCCCCACAGCATAACATAAGACGGGAACATTTACAACAGGAAAAAAAGCTAGTAATTTGTCGAAGAAACCACCTACCGGAGGTGATTTGTTGAAAGGTGACCTGTCGGTCCTCTGGCAGACTGGACCTATGACGATTGATGGACTTGGGCAGTTGGCGTTGGCTATCGAGAGAACTGCGGGAACTGGTGGACACGGGTCCACCTGTCAACGGATGCAGAGCGCAGCTCGAGGAGTTTGTGCGGTAGCTGAGAGTGAAGGGGCGATTGCAACCGCTGGCACAGCTGCTGCCCCGACGATGAGTCTTTGGATGGAAAGCCAGCATCATGTGATCAACGTCGTCTGGAAAACCCGCGTCCAGACGATCCTCTTCGGTACCTTTCCAGAAGGAGCCTGCCATGGCGAAGCAGAAAAAAGAAGGTCGCTTAGTCTGCGGCGCCAAAGCCGGGGGCACAGAAGCCAGGAACTCAAAACACGTGCATGCACACAAGCAAGCAGGCAGGCAAGCGCAAACAGGTGGACTGGTGAAGCACAACAGGGCACGAGGGATACACAAAAGTGACTGAGGAGTAACCAGAAACTACGGACGACGACGACGAAACATTTTTGCATGCTGGCCTGGGGGATTCCACCAGACGAGAGGTGGTGGCGCGATAGTCAGCTCTATGACTGAGAAGGCGAGTTCTAATGGACTCATCGATGAGGCTGTCCATGAATGATCAGAAGAGTTGGCGCGTTTACACAACTTAGTACTAGGAGGTTTAGGAGAGGACTAGTAGAAAATATGGGAAGTTGGAGTCTACGGTTGTACCCGAAACGAGTCCGGAGACTCCGGTGTTGATAGATTTAATGGTTGCGTGACCGAGCTGCGATTAACGCTTCTTTCAGAGCCAGGAGTGCAGAAGGTCTGACAGAGAACAAGGGAAATATCCTAAGGACAGGAAGTCACATTTCAGCTTGTCGTATTACATGACCGCCCAAACAGGGCACAAGGACGGGAACGCCACGCCCACTTAAAATAGGTGGTCTTACGATAAATTTCAGGACGGGTAAACGCCTCCGTGTGTTAAACTTGGCACTAACCATAACATAATAAACGGTAATCTGAATATTAATCCTACTCTAAATCTAAATCTTACAGTTAACGTGAACCAAAACCTTAACCCTTAACACAAGCCTGATCTTAGCCACAACTTAAAACGCGATCCTAAACTTAACCCTAACTCCCACCTTAATCATAAACCTAAGTTTCTGGAACTTGGCGCGGAGTTCTGTGTATTGTTGGGGGTTCCTGTTCCCGTGTCCCGGTCATACAAGTCACCCTTACCCTATATTCATGGGAAAAACTGGTATAAGTCACTCGATGATGATGATGATGATTACCATTATTATTATCATTGATGATGATCATTAT